TCATAACATTATTGAAGTGTTTATATCAAACTTTCCGTGTTTAGAGGAGGAACGCAGGATTACATTATTCGTCTCATGTAATTTAAGGTTTCTACTTAAAATAAAAATTTTGATTATATTACATAATAATGTCTAGTCGTGTATGATACCAATACTAGATTAGATGAAGCAATGTAATATTAGGTGAGGGTATTATTTGAAACAAACTTTCAATTTAAAACAAGCACATGTTTTAGATTATGCTTCATACATTAAGGTGCAGTCCGATCCATGTACTGTAATTCGTATATAGTGTGTCTGCTAATCAAACTACGCCTTAGTTTTGATAGGAGTTCCAATAGTTAAATTACGGTATTATTTTCAATAGTTGGTATAGCCTCTACATGCAGCTTATGGGAACTTTTGGGTTTTGATTTATGAAGGAGTTTGATTTTCATGCGAAGAGGACTGGACATACTAAATTTCAGGACAAGACAGCAGAGGTGGCAGAAGAGGAAGAAAGAAGAGCCACGGAGAAACTTCGTCAGCAATTCGAAGAAATTATTAAGGTAAAAAGTCGTAATGTGTCTAAGAATTTTGATTCTGCTAAGAACGTGTCAGTAAGTTATGCTGATTGCTAAATGGCTAGAAGACAGTCTAAACGGCTAGAAATGAAAATTTGCATTTCGTACAGATTGACAAATATCCTTTTGCGTTCAGGTATGAGAACTTGTACTTTTCCTATCGATTTTCGGTAAACATTCTAGGGTGAGACTTTCCCCACACTACTAATTATCCTTTCGGTGTGCTATAATTACTCAGGCAGTGAGCTTATATCTTGCTTTGACCTTTTGCTGTCAGATTTTTACCGGTTTATTTTTTAATAAGCTGCATTGGCATTATTGCTCTTTGTAACCTGTTGTGACCTGAAATTGTGATTCACCAGGTCAAGGAGTAGTGAAACATAATATCTGAAAACCGTACTGTTGTGGCTACTTTCACTGTATTGTAAACAGACACTAACTAGCAAATGAGGAAATTTTAATTACTTGGTAATTTTGTGATTGAGATTGACTTTTTAAATTTCCAATACGATCTATAAGGCAACTTGTTATTTTTCTGTTTGCATTAAGATTACACCCTTTTTACCTTTTAAGGTTTTGGGTTTGGGGTGGTAGGATTTCCTGAGTTTACTTGGATACTAAACAATGAATATATTCTTAACAGAAGTATGTAAATTATTGCCTTAAAGAGGTATGTAATGCCTCAAGCCATTTTGTGGGACTGTTTGGCTTGAAAGAAATAGCAGAATTTTTTAAGGCAATAGGAGAAATATTCATAGCCTTAAACAAAGATGTATTGTTGTGCTAGATTTTTGGTGCAACCTAGTAATGGTAGATGATGCAACTTTCGACACAGTCCGGGATCTACACAACCTGTAATTACACCTTGTCGCGCTGTCTTAGTACAAGAATTTACAAAATCTTTGATTACTTATCGAACAAATTATTGCCTTATTTTTCTTACTATGGTGCACATTATGCACCTGTAATGCACTCCACTCTTATTTTACTAAATACTTGCATTCTTTAACTGAAAGAAAATAGAAGCTTTAAAAATGGATACAATGAGGTTGATCATTTGCAGAAAATGAATTTGAACTGTCTAGGAAGATACAACCTAATCTTTCTTTGTTTGTTGTTCCGAATTTATAGAACGAAAAGGGCAATGACAAGGATGCGGGCAAATTGTAGGATTTGGTATGTTTAGGAAGATATAAGGTGTAATGTGGATCACGTAATCCTATTTGTTTTTTTCCCTTGATTTGGATCTTTCTTTTGTTTGTTATTCTTATTTTTGTCTTTGAAAGTGAAATGTATCGGTGAATGTCAGTTCATGCACAAACATATTCAGAATATGCACATTCTTGCTTTTTACGATCAACTTAGCTAATGTGTTGATGACCATGTTACACCTCATCCAGATCAATCAAGTGGCATCTGATGAACAAATATATTTATTTCGCAGGCAGAAACCAGAAAACTGCTTGGTTTGCCACCACGAAATCCATCTCTCATGAAACTTTTAAGACCTCTTTTGGAGGAAGAAAAGGTGTGTACTTGTGCTATTGAAATCTGCGGATATGGTTTTGCTTCAATTCATACATGCTTGTCCCTCTACTCAAGTTGTTTTTAAATTAATGCTGTAGAGTTCATTGCCAGTCAGTCCAGCTACAAAAGCAGAGCATATGAGTGAGTGCCTCCGGACTATCAAACAAAATCACATGGTAATGTTTCTGCTATTTTACGTCCAACTTTCTCTTCTTTCTCATAGTCATAGTTAGCGCCATAAGGGCTCTAGTGGACCTTTAATAAAACGCTGAAGTTTTTGAAGTATACAATAACAAGAGTCTTCCAACAACAAACACACTTAGGAACTGAGATGGCCTATTATTCGAGTCTTCTATTACTTTGTGTGGCTTTGTTCCACAATTGAATGAATTGTCCTTTCAATCTTTTATTGTTTTAAACTGATTTTTTGTTGATTTTCCTTTGGTGGACTAGGATGATGAGGCCAAAGTCAAGAACTCTTTCAACACACTGTTAACTTATGCTAAGAATGTGGCGACAAATCCAGATGAGGAGAAATACCGTAAAATTAGACTCAGTAATGCTGCTTTCCATGTGAGTATTTATGAATTAAAAGCGAGTGTGGCCATTGTTTTTGCTTTTTATTTACTTATAAGTTGTGCTCATCCCTAACCTTTAAATTCAGTCAAGAGGAAAGCTCCTGTTATCCTTATTTTTTATAAAATCGTTAGAGCTCGAGGTCATATAATTCCTTATAGTAGTGAAGGGGTGGAAGGCAGGTTTACGGTGGTTCAGAATGTTTTAACGCTAAGTCAGCTCCCAAGCTCCATAAAGACTATTACCTTGATCCATTTTTAATACCCCACACTCCTTTTTCCCCATCTTTTGTTTCGAGTTGTTCTCAAAAGGGTCTACGGGAGCAGTGGGGGATCCAACCACGGGTTTGCCAATTTGGCAGATTCCAACGCTTCGGTCAAACTTTATATACACGTGCGAAGAACAATTATAGATAAGAGTTTGTTATATCTTTCAGAACTCACTCTCTCAATTCAAAATGTCTAAATTCTGCATTTGCCGCTGTATGGGAGTGTTGGTTGGTTGGCTATGTTCATCGCCACCTACTTGTAGATTATATCAGCTACGTAGAATCATGTTGAATTTATAGGATTCTTGAAAATGTTCTCAGAACTCTATAATTATGAATTTATGATAGATACCTCAGCCAAAAGTAGTTTCATGACACTTTTCCATTTAAAAAAAGGGTTGTTTCATGACACTTAAAATCCTGTTTTGACATTTTGATTACAGGATAGGGTTGGCAAATTACGAGGAGGCATCGAATTTCTTGAGCTATGTGGATTCGAAAAAATTGAAGGGGGTGAATTCTTGTACTTGCCAAGAGAAAAAGTGGACATGGATGTGCTTTATTCAGCTGGACATGAGTTGAACAGTGCAATTAAAAATCCCTTCTTTTGAATCCTATGAATTATGATCCATACATTAGGTAAAGAAAAAGATTTCAACTGTAAAGGTTATATACAAAACTCTAAGTATGACATGGTTTCTCTTTAATATGTGGATTGAGATTGTGCAGAGATTTTAATCAGTACTGGTGATGAGATTGGAAAGTTTTTTCTCCTTTCTGAATTATCTTGTAGCTACAGCCTACAGATGTATTTTTCTTTAAGAGTCGTGTTTATTTTTGTTTAGCTTTGCATGATGCATGTTAGTAGAAGACGTCAAAGTGTATGTATGTGTACCCGAAACCGACACCGGTGGGTAGGTAGAGAATACCTAGGGGCGCGAGACAACTCTCTCTAAGGAATTTGGTAAAATAGCCCCGTAACTTCGGGAGAAGGGGTGCCTCCTCACAAAGGGGGTCGCAGTGACCAGGCCCGGGCAACTGTTTACCAAAATTTGCAAAGTCGTAAGATCATGTATGGGGGCTGACGCTTGATACAACAACAACAACCAATAAATTTCCATAAGTGGGGTCGGGGGAGGGCCTTACCCTTTCCCTGGGAAGGTAGAGAGGTTGTTTCTGACAGACTCTCGGCTAAAGAAAAGATGCAAAGAAGCAGTTGCAACAAAAACAGTAGGTAGTAATAGCAATCTTAGAATAAAAAGATACCATACTAACACTAAAACTACTGGTACAGGAAAGAAAAGTAAAACGTTTGACTACCTACTAACTTTCTACCCTATTTTTCGACCTCCACACCCTCATATTAAGGGTCATGTCCTCGGTAAACATGAGTTGTACCATGTACGCCTCCCGCATCTTATCCTCCTTCTAGTTTCAAGTATTAGTCGTTTGGTAAATTGAATTTGTTTTAAAATATTTGGCGTTTTGGGAAAAGTAAGTCATTTATTCTTTTTATCAAAGCTAATATTATTGCGCCAAATACTGGAGTATTAATTAAATTAAACGTTCAAGAGAGATACCTTGCTAGTTCAAAAAGATATTTTTGTTTGTTTGTGAAAGGTTGACACATGCACTCGTGCATGCACATTTATTTTCTGAATCATTAGATAATATGATCAATCACGTCTTACCAACCTATGCATTCAAAGGAAAATAGTCATAATTTATTTTTTTTTAAATATCATCAGAGTTCACGTAATACTTTCTAACAAGTGAATAAATCAAGTAATGTTTTTAATTTATACTATTTAATTTTTTTCTCTTAAAAAGCTACTCCTTTCAGTTTCAGTAGGCATTTGACAAATTGGGCAAATATTTGTGGAAAAATTAACCGTTGAATTACAATTTACTCGGTCCAAAACATGTTCTCCTATAGTTTGCAGTTATATTTACGTTCTTTTTTTATTTTTTATTCGCAACTACTCAATAATTTAAACTGTAATTATTATTATTTTTTTAAATACCGGGAATATTATTTTTTATTTTTTAAAAAGAGGAATCTTTCATCACTCTCCGTCCACCACTGTACTACTACTAGTATTCTTTTTCCGCCACCATTGCACTAGCATTACTTCCATTTTTCCTTCTCATTTCTGAATCTGTTGCTTTTTACTGTTACAACCAATCTCTGTTCAAAAATGAAAGTAATTCCTAATCTCAAACTTCCTAAAAAATCTCCCAAAATCCTCAATTCCCCACCACCTAATAAATCATCATGCTCTAAGAACAATAATAATGAAAATCTGAATGAAACCCATTTCATATCTCTAATTCACTATTGCAAAAATACCCATCAACTTCAACAAATCCATGCCCAAATTATTCGCCAAAACTTATCATCAAATAGCAGAATCATTACTCAGCTGATATCTTCAGCTTCTTTACGCAAATCCATTGACTATGCATTGTCTGTTTTTAGTTGTTTTCGTGGTCCGAATTTGTATTTGTTTAATGCTTTAATTAGAGGATTGAAGGAGAACTCTTGTTTTGAAAAATCAATTGGATATTTTAAGCTAATGCTTAAGATGGGTGTTAAGCCTGATAGGCTTACGTACCCGTTCGTGTTGAAATCATTAACGGCATTAGGTGAAAAAGGAGTTGGTGGGAGTGTGCATTGTGAGGTTTTAAAGATGGGATTGGAGTACGATGTGTTTGTCCGGGTTTGTTTGGTTGAAATGTATGTGAAAGTTGAGTTGGTGGATTTCGCACTCCAGCTGTTTGATGAAAGTCCTGAGAGAAATAAGGCTGAGAGCGTGCTTTTGTGGAACGTCGCGATTAATGGGTGTTGTAAGACTGGACAGGTGAGTAAGGCGTTGGCGTTGTTTGAGGAAATGCCCGAGAGGAATGCAGGTTCTTGGAATACTTTGCTTAGTGGGCTGTTGAGGAATGGGGAGGTGGATAAAGCGATGGAACTTTTTGATGGGATGGTGGAAAAGAATGTGGTTTCTTGGACTTGTATGATTCACGGGTTAACACTAAATGGATTGCACCAAAAGGCGCTGGATTTGTTTTTCAAGATGGTGGAAGAAGGTACAAAGCCGAATGGTTTAACAGTTGTATCTGCACTTTCTGCTTGTGCAAAAACTGGGGCACTAGAGGCAGGGAGAAAGATTCATGAAAATATTTCGAACAATAGGCTCCATTTGAACGTAGCAGTTGGTAATGCTTTGCTTGATATGTACGCGAAATGCGGGTATATTGAGTCTGCAGGCCTGGTTTTCAGTGGATTGAAGGAGAAGGATATTCGTACGTGGAGTATAATGATATGGGGTTGGGCAATTCATGGACATGTAGATAAAGCTCTTAGGTGTTTTGAACAGATGAGATTAGCTGGTAGTTTCCATATATTCTTTTGTCCATCGAGTTACTTGGATTAACTAGAAAATTGTTTGAAAAATTAAAACTTTTTTTTTCTTTCTAATGGTTGCAGGAATCAAACCTGATGGAGTTTCTTTCCTTGCTGTTTTAACTGGATGCTCTCACGCTGGATGGGTGGATCAGGGCCTTCAAATCTTTGATAGCATGCAGCGCGAGTGCTCAATTGAGCCCACTATGAAACATTATGCTGTAGTAGTAGATCTACTTGGCAGGGCTGGCCGATTGGATGAGGGCTTTAAATTTATCGAAAGTATGCCCTTAGAGCCAGATTATGTGATTTGGGGTGCACTTTTTTCTGCTTGCAGAGCTCACAAGAACATTGAAATGGCAAAAGTTGCATCACAGAAGCTCCTGCAGCTTGATCCAAAGCATGCTGGGGGTCATGTGTTTCTATCTAATGTTTATGCAGGAGCGGGGAGATGGGATGATGTGGAAAGAGTTAGAAGTTCAATGAAGAACAAAAATATTGACAAGGATCCTGGATGGAGTTCGATGGAGGTGGATGGTCAGTTGCATACATTTGTTGCTGGTGATAATGCTCATACACGTAAGCAGGAGATATACTCGAAATTGGAGGAAATTATTATGGGAGCTAAACAACACGGTTACATGCCTGAAACCGAGTGGGTGCTTCATAACATTGATGAGGAAGAGAAGGAAGGAGCCTTGGGAAGTCATAGTGAAAAGTTAGCACTTGCTTTTGGTCTCATTAGTACTGGTCCTGGTGAGATCATTATGATTGTGAAGAATCTTAGAGTGTGTGGCGACTGCCATTCGCTAATGAAGTACGTCAGCAAGATCAGTCAAAGGGTGATTGTGTTAAGAGATATAAAGAGATTCCACCATTTCAAAGATGGAGTTTGCTCCTGTAAAGATTACTGGTGAACTAGTAAGTGTTGCCTGACTTGCAATTTCATCTCAAATTCGCTAGTTATGCTCTAATCTGGTCACATATGTCATTCTAGACTTCTAGCAATTTCTGGAAGCCGTTGTGTATAACTATCCTTTTGTTGCTTGCAGTTTTACTTTGGTTTGGGGTAATTATCAGACCAACCAAACTAATTGAGCCTTGTTTTATTTTGTTTCCTTTTAGTTTGAGGATAAAAGCATAGCAAATTGATATTGTTTTTCTCATCTAAAATCTCTTTTTGCTACTCAATAGCTTAAGCATTAAAGTAATATGAGAACATCAATAACTATACTTTAAAACCAAACTATTGGGATTCACTACATAAATCCGGTATATCCATTCCATGCAATAGTTTCTTTAAACAGGCAGAAAAATAAATAGACCAACCAAACCAATTGGATTATTGCCAATTTATTTAAGTTTACTGTTTTTTTGTCCTCTGAAACTTTTATTGATAAATATGTATGTGTTATCCACAAAGCACCAAGAGGCTGCTAGGATACAAATAGGAACTTTCCTTTCATGGAAACCTTTTATTTTACCAATAAATTTATGCACGAATGCAATAGTAACCTTAAATGCCCAGTCGCTTTTTGGTCTCTGATTTTGGTGATTGGAGGAAATACTTCGGTGATACTCTCCTTTACCAGAAGTTGTTTTAGACTTCCGTAGAAGAAGAGAGAAGGTATGGGAAGTGGTGCTGAGTGTCTCTTTTGGAGTTTAAAGCTGGAATGTGACGATTGGACATTCCAAGGTGAAGAAATGCCATTAACAAGTTCATTTACTGATTTATCTGAACATGCTTTGTGTGCGCAATTATAGTAAATTGCACATACCTAGAGCTTAGCCATGTGCTGTCCTTTCGTTTTCTCTAGTGGGATAGTCAATTCTTTGTGCTGTTGGTGCTCTTACACAATCTGGATTTATTTATGACGAGGTTGATGCATTAATCGAAACAGCTAAGTTGACTTATTTTTCCTTTTTCCTTTTTAACAAATAGTGCGCCAGTTTCCTTCTGTTTTAATGGTCCTTGTCTTCTTTATTGGCTTCATTTTCTGTCTTAGACTATTTGTCAAATTGCTTTTCCCGCTACTGCAGGAAAGAATACAAGTTGGCGAGGAGCTACTTGGAGAGATGCTGATTGAGGAATAAAATGAATTAAGTGGTTTATCTCAAACTCCGTTATCTTTTGGTTTTCCTCTCAGTAATGTATGTCTTGTATAACTGATAGCATTACCTAAACCAAAGGAGTGAGCCTGGGAAAACTTTTTGTGACAAACAGGGAAAGATAAGGTCAGGAAACATGAAGGATTGGATAATGTGGTTTCTGATTATCTCTTTCCCACTACACTTTGTTCCTTGCAGGTAGTAGTCCACAGTTCAGAATCGTGCGTCAGCAGATGCATCTCAAATAGATACTCTTTTCATGGGCACACTGAATTCCTATTGGGTTCTCAATTGCTGACACTGATGGCATCCAGGGAAAATTTGCAGCAGACAGTAGCTAAAATTTGGGACCAAGGCAAGTCTTGAGTACAGCTTCCCAACCACTCCCTGTCCATCCTTTAAAGAATGGAAGGGAAACAATTTATACTTGATCAATTATTAGGTGCGCTTAATTTCTTTACGCAGTCAGTTAATGCATTTCCTAAATTTTGGGAGTAACTGCTTTGATCATAATAGAGCCATTACTTCCAAAGGTGAAATAAGAAAGGACAAAGGTATTTGGACAAGACTGCTCTGCCTGGTGTTCCATCTCTCTTTATTTTCTTAGTTTTCCTTGTTTCCTGTTCTGCTTTGTGTGGTAGTGCATGGTTAGCTCATTCATCGTTGATTGTAGGCAACTTGATGATCATATCGTCCATGTTGCCAAATCGATAGTTTTGTACCAGTACCTAATCTTATCAATCCATGTTACATGAAATAGTAGTATGCTATCTTATGACATATGGATAATCTAGTTATCAAGAGACTCAGTGCAGGTGACGATATATCAGTGGACTTCCTGTAACACGAGTGTGAAAATAGAAAAAGAAGCTTCTCATTAACTTGGTAAGTAAATATTCTAAAATTAAAGAAAGAATATGCTGAGGTATCCTATAGAATATTGGTTATCCAGAAAAGGTAGCCTATAGAATATTCTTTAAAAATTTCCTTATTCCTGTGTGAATCTAGACATGGATGACTTTGACACATATTCACTTGATATTCTAATAACGTGTTGGCCATTGATCAATTTAAGTGGTTCATGGTGCTCTCTCTAGGTGATGCAAAACAACTGAATATTTGATTCTTGCTTGTCTCAGGTGGATCTGGCGCATTTTTCCTGCATCCACATAGGTTTGGAAGGAGAAGTTATCAGGACACCAGGTGGTGGAGAATCTACTGCTTTCTTGCGATCGGTTGCTCCAACTGCAAATAAGCACATGAGACTTCCTGGTAATTCATAGCTTCAAGAGAGATAATAGCCGTGGCGGAAATGGCACTTGGCATCATCAATCTTGGAGAGCCTTTTGTGAAGATCCAAATAGTCTTCAACTTTATTGAAGATTCAAATAGACTTACTGCCATGGATGTGGCAACCTGAATAACTACGGTAAGGAGTAGAGTCTTCTGTTCAAGGGCACATTCCTCCCCATCTCTTTCGCCCTTGTCAAGCAGGAATGGTGGCACCTGCTTAGCAGGTATAAGAGTTTCTTGTTAGAGGACAGAGAACAAAGCAAACCCCAACACTGCTTGGGCCAATACTGCGGTTAGATGAAGTTTGTTAAAGAGTTGAAGCCTATGGCGGAGCTAGTGTATTGGCTACGGGTTCGGTCACACCCAAATAACTTTGGTCCAAACTTGTATTTGTCTTGTGAAATTGATTGAATATGTACACAATTATTAATTTTGAAGGTTACTTAAAAGAAGTAGAATCCCGAACCCATAAGCTTCAAAATCCCGGCTCCGCCTTTGGTCGAAGCAACAATAGTCATGTGCTTATTTGTACGAGGCACCTCTCTATTTCACCATTTTTTTCAGCAGACCTCCCCCACCTCCAACTCCAAACCTCCAAGTGCCGAGGTGCGGTTGGAGCTGGTGAAATAGGTGAGGCAGCGATCATGTGCTTGATTTGCTAGTTTGTTACATTTCTCTTGTTTCTTATGTGGAAAACAGTTTGGACGAATAGACTGTTATTGGCAGTAGGTAAATGTATTGGTTTGACACTGTCGTTTGCTTTATGTTTATTTGTGAATTGGTTTATTCAATATCTGCTTCTTTCATAAGAATGAGAATGCGATGGGAGTCATTTCAGAAAAGTATGTTGGCTCAGCTGGCAATCATAACTCTGAGAAGTGAATGGATTTTGTCAATCCTATTTATTTTATCACAATTTAATAGGCGTTCAGATAATATCTGTTTGAACGAAGCCTCGAAGCAACTGTAAAGTTGTCTATGCGTAACCTATAAGTCCGGGGTTCGAGCCGTGGAAGCAGCCACTAATGTTGCATTAGGATAGGTTGCTTACATCACACCCCTTAAGGTGCGGCCCTTCCTTATGCCCTGTGTGAACGCGGGATGTCTTCGGCCAATATAATATTTGTTTGACGTATAAAAGAAGAATATTCAAATTGAGTTGTGCTTGTACATAAACTTCACTTGGAAAAAGAAAAAAAAAAGCTCTGAAGATTTGTAAGTGAAACTCGTTATTATCTTAAATATGATTTTCATTTACCCTCCCTCCCCCCACCCCACCTCCCACCCCCCCAAAAAAAAAGAAAAACAGAATTTTGAACACTGAAGTTTATAATATTTGCGAACTGATGGTCTAACCAATATTTGCAAATATTGAACTTTAGTGTATAAAATTACTGAAATATTATCTATGGCAACCGATTAGTCTCTCTCATTACTGATATTATAATTAGCAATTTGACTTGAAAGCTATATCGTATCTACTATAAATTAAAAAGAGGAACTTAGTTCTTGCTCCACATTAAATTGGTAATTCTATTAATGGAAAGATTTCTATTATTTTGTCTAAACTAGTATTAGTACCCGCGCGGATGCGCGGACACTAATCATGTCAAATATTTAAGTTATTTGGATTGTATGTAAATAATCTTAAAATTTACACTTTCTCAGTAAATATAGATAATCATTGGATATTAACTACGTGAAAAAAATTAACCATTTCTTCTATTTTTCTTTTTTGTTGCCGGTGTCATTGGATCCTAAAATTAGTGAGGAAGCAAAATAATAACTCATATTTATGGCAAAACAATCAAATATTGAGACAACGAATGACTCTTTGGATAAGACTTAACTCTTTTACTACTACTTGTACTCTTATTTTGTGTGCTGGTATCTCTTAAAAAATATTTCTTTCTTAAAATTTTAGTTTCTAAAACATTATTTTTCAATAATAATTATTTTTATAATAATGTAATTGAAAATATTATTCTTAATTCAAAA